CTTGTCAATCAGAAAGATCAGCAGTTCGGTGGTTCGAATCCCTAGTGTCAGATAACAGAGTGAGCTCCCGTTACTTGTTCCAGCTTTTGCCAACCTAGCAGTTCAAAAGCATGTAAAAATACAAGTAGAAAAATAGGAATCACCATTGGTGGGAAGGTAACAGCGTTGTGTGTGCCTTTGGCATTTAATCATGCCAGCCACATGACCATGGAGACGTCTTCAGACAGCACTGGCTCTTTGGCTTTAAAACGGAGAAGAGCACTACCCTCTAGAGTCGGGAATGACTAGTACATATGTGCAAGGGAAACCTTTACCTTTTTATACACACATACACACAGAGAGAGGTAGAATTTATGTGCCTAAGTAATTGAGCAAAAACTCCGATCAATTACTGTCACATTTAAAGAACTAAGAAATCTCAGTGCAATTTATAGAGACTTCTGTTAACCAGGTAGGAGATTGTCTACTGGTCTATTTTCAACCTAGCACACCATGAAGCAAATCAAGAGTTGATGAGAGCTTGTCTGTCAACTGTTGAATCAAGCCTCAAATAATCCAATCCCTGAGCTTCTTCATGATGCAATTTGGCGATTAGAACAGTATAAAAAGATTAGCAGTTTGGCGATTAGAGCAGTATGAGAAGATAAGCAAGCCAATTTAAAGCTGACAGTTCGGTGTGAGTTAAAGCATGAGTTTCCCAAATGAAGCAACCATGCTGAAGCATTCAAGAATGTCATCTTTCGGGCAGGGGGAAAAAATGTAATACCTTCCGCTCGTGACTTCTTGGGCCGCCAGAAGGATTCTGCTTCAGAAAGCCTGCTGTTGTGGACCATCTTGTGGGGTTTTTTCTTGAAGGCTCTTCTGAAGTAAAATTGGTATCGCTGACTGACAAGGCGAGGCCTACTAATGCTGGGTCACTGCTGCGCCGTACGTGAAGAGGCATATCTGAGGAGATTAAAAACATAAAGAAACTATGAGACAAGACATTCCAACAAAGTGACAGACTCATACTGTCTTATTTGGAAACAAAATGGTGATAATATAAAACCTGCAGGATACAAAAAAATCCCAATTAGTTATCTAACATAATCAATGAAAGAATACATTGCTCAGAGGCCAGAAATCCCAATTGATAGGATCTTAGCCAGGGCTGTAAAACTTCTGGCCCACATTACACATGCCCATGCTAAATTTCACTAGGGGGGAGGGAGTCACGATACATCACGATACATCATCGCCGCCATGACAATGTGAGTTTGACAACTCTGCTCTAAGCAATCAATGGGTAAAGGCACAATAAAAAATAAATTCAATTAATATACTACTTTGAGTATTTAATAATTCTCCCCTTCAATTGCATCAATTTAGTCTAACTTAACAAATGTTCAAAGTTACATCAATTATTCATATAGCAACTGTTCAAAGTTACAACAGATCCTATATCCAAGTTCCAGAGCTCTGATGAATGCACACACCTACACACATATATATCCTGTGGTCATATGAACACACTTGGATATTTAGCAAAACAACTAACTTTTATGGCCAGTTACAGCATTTGGTAATTTTGTGAGATGATTTAGGACAGGTTTTTATCAGAAACCAGTCCTCTAAGATTGTTTCCAGCAAAAGATGCCCATGCAAAGCCACTGATAAATTTAATGACCACAGTCCTCACTTAATAATCACCATGTAAAAGATCATAAAATTAGATCGGTCACATAAGCGCCAACTAACAACTGCCATGACTTGTAATTGAAATGCCAGACTCCATTACAACCATAAATCAAGGACTACTTGTAAACCTGATTATAATTTTTTTAAGAAGCTTTGGGGCAAAGGCTCAAAGCTTTCATGGAATATATACAACCTTGGGTTGGATTGTATTTCATTGTTTTAAGCACCCAACTTTCTTGAACAAACAATATGAAGTTCCAAATCTTCCCTCATTTATAAAATGCAACAGTTAGTCAAAGGAAGATATTTTAACCAAAAACAATCACACCATTATTATTTTTTATAAAGTGACAGTTACTGGCAAAATTCCTCAGGATGATTCCGAATAATGTTTTCCCCTTCTTTAAAACAAATGAGAATGGTATCACACAATTTGGGGTACTCCAAATATTGCAGAATTTCACCACTAGCATTCTTCATTATTAGCCATTTATCAGCAATTCCTGGACCAGATTATTTCACATGGATTACAGATCTTAAAAGGGAACAAAAGCATGGCCTATTTATTGTGCTTCTCCTTTTACAGTATTTGTGATGAATCACTTTTTAGAAATAGTACAGGGGCTTAGTAAACTATGTTTTGGAAAAATTAGGACATTTTGAAAATATTATGAGCATGTTTTTTTTTAAAAAAAAAAGTTATGTAAGTTGCAAAAAATGGGGCTGGAGTTATCAGACATTCCTACATATATTCTGCATTTTTATCTAACTTTGGACGGACAAAACATTTGATGCATACAGTTGCATGCATTTATATCAGAGCTGTCAAACTCCCAGCCCACAGGCCATTTGCATCACGTGTTGGCCATGTCCATGCCCCGTTTAGTGAAGTGGAAAAAAATCCCAATACATCACATGATACTGCCGTGATGACAGGAGTTTGATACCCCTGCCATTACACTATCTCCCTGCCCTGTTTAAACACCATATATTTTAATTGCACTTCAAGATGTTCAGTAGAAGAAATTCACTTTCAAGAAACATGTTTCTAGCAACGACAGAAAATGTAATATAAAAATGGAACATCTTTGGAGGTTCTCTGACATCATGCTTTTAAAATGTCAACTGAACTCTCTTGGTTTTTCTTGAAGATGTTTCACAACTAATCCAGAACTGAATAAGGTTTTTGGATAACAAGTAAAACATCTTCAAGATAAACCAAAAAAATCCAGTTTCCTTTTTTAAAGCACCTTTGGGACATAAAAATGGAATAAAGATAATTTGTGTATATGTATATTATTCTTACCTAACAGCATACAATTTAGGTGCAAGCAATTTATGAGATTTTTAAACATCTTAATAAGTTTTATTATTATGTTCAAACCAAGACCATAAGTACGTGTTCTTTGATGCATGCTAATGTAACCAAACATTTGAATACAGGCAATGCTCCAAAACCAAAGTGGAGATTTTGAAACTGGGAGGTAATTTTTATTTGATTATTATTATTTTAGTATTCAAAGTCCATAAAAAAGTGTTAATGAGCCATAAGAGGCTTTCAGACCATTAATTGTCCCAAATGTGGGAATGTGCTCAGAAAAGTTATTTTCTAATTCTTTTATAAAGCTACACAAGCTGTGCAAATATTGTTGTGCACTGTGTGAAAGAACACCTATTTTGTGAATGCTTAATGTGCTGTCATTTATTTCCCCAGATAACCATCATTTAACCAATATTATTTCCCTTTTAAAAATCATTATTTCTAATCATTAAAAAAACCAGAACATTTTTAGACAAAAGCAGGGGATATGTGATGGGATGTCTTGGAGTTTGACTGTGTGTGTGTGTGTGTGTGTGTGTGTGTGTGTGTGTGTGTGTGTGTGTCCACACATTCTTTTCAAATTATCAGAAATGTACATAATGTTATACGTATGACCACACACTATATCTTACATTAAAATATAATAACCCCAGTTGCTTTATTCCTAAACTCCAATCTGTTTTTGCTCCAACAACACTCTTCCACAATGGTATACTGAATTGGGATTTCCTTTTATGCTGTGGCATCCCATTTCCATTTTTTTTTCTCAGATAAGTATTAAAAAATTACTTCTGCACATATGCAGGTCTGTTTGTGTGTGGAATTATGAAAAAATTAGAATCCAATAATGGAATGTATAAAGCACAAACTTCTTGATCAGTTCTCTCCATCCTGTTTCCCAGTTCAATTTCCTCTAGACATCAAAAAACAGAGCAATAAAAGCGATTTTAAAAATCCAAATTCTAATCAGATTTGAATAAGTAACTCTGCATATTTTTTGCTGGACATCTATCTGCCTATTTAAAAAAAAGACCCCAAAATTAAAACATGTAAAAAGAAATCAAAATTAATGAAGCCTGTAATAATACATTCATTGATTAGGTAATTATTCCCAAACTCTCATTTGGAATTCCTCAAGAACAGATGTTAAGTATAATGAAACAAACACTGGTTCTGAATAACAGAATAATAGAGTTGGAAGGGACCTTTGAGGTCTTCCAGTCCAATCACCTTGCTCAAGCAGAAGACCCTACACCATTTCAGAGAAATGATTGCCCAATCTCTTCTGAAAAACCTCCAAGAGTGGAGCAACTTTTGGAGGGCAGCTTTCAAACTGGTCAAGTGCTCCTTCTTTAAGGTCCTTGGTGCTCTTTGATTTTGGTTGCCTCTCTGAGGACACTTCACCATGCAAGTAGTGCCAGAAGGGAGTGGGGCAGAGGGTCACTGGTGAGTCAGAGGAAGCCACTCGTATATAAATTTATAGCAAACCCCACTCTCCTCCAGCATCAATGATATTACCCACTCGGACAATGAAATGTCTGCAAGGAAACATCTTTTCAACTTATACCAGCTAATACCCCCTCCTTGAGGCTGAATCTATCTTCAAATGCAAATGGCATACACAATTTTATGACAAAAAATCCAATTAGACCGCCTAAATGTCCCCTAAACTGGGGAAATGTACTGCGCCGTTTTTTTAAAAAGGAATATTAATAATAGGACATTTGTTAATGTTTAATAATGCCTTTGTAAGGTCACACTTGGAATACTGCATTCAGTTTTGGTCACCACGATGTAGAAAAGATGTGGAGACTCTAGAA